CCTGAGTGCACCGCTCTAATGGGTCCGACTAGAAGGACGAATAACGTTAGTTCCCCCTATTCCGTCATTCAATAAATCGTGTAATAAAATCATACTTTTTTTTCACTTTTAGGGGGGCCACAGGGGGGTCAGAGGTCAGTGTTAGAACTGCCCCTGCTGATGCCATTTCTCATAGTCCTCTTTTCTTGCGCTCTCATCCAACATTTGCGCATATGAGACATGCAAGGCTTTAAAATCAACCGAAAGTTCGTTAAACTTCATCATGTTCCCTTTGACTTCATCCAGATATTCTCTATCGGTCATTAGGCTGTTCACAATGTTCATTCTCCGTGTTAAATGCGAAGCTTTTCCTGATCTCGATTAGCGCAGCTGCGCCGCAGCCTCGTGTCTCTAACAGGTGGCGATTCCGCCTCATCAGAACTCGCCATTTTAATCCAATATAAACTTCCAAAAAGTCTTTAAAATGTTTAGAAACAGTTCTTGTTATTTCCGTTATCCTTGTATTTTCACAACTTAACTCAGGTTACTTCATACATTCATTCATAAGAGGCTGTATTTCACCGCTGCTCTCTTTTTCTTCGTCACAGAAAGGTTGACAAATAAAAGATTCACTGTCCATAAACACAAATATCAGCGGTGAAATCCGTTTCCAAACACTTCAGGTATTTCTTCCAAACGAATAATCCTTCAGTGATGTTTGATCTGAAAGCGCATACCTCCTCCGAAGTGTTTCTATGTTTGGTCCGCCACGCGTCGGGCCGGCGTTTCCTTTGTCTTTGATTCCTATGATCCCTTGGATCCTCCAATAGTCCTCGTGTTTCCAATCACAGCTCGTCATTGACTAATTGTAGTGGCCAAAATCATATAGAAGTTTGTCTTGTAACCTTCACCTCAAAAGTTATTGTCAGACTCGCAGTACAAAATCCACTGGATGTTTCGGTTAGTTTTCAAGGTTTATTTCCAGCAAACATAAAACAAAATATGAAAACAATATTTAACATAAACTTAAACAGCAGATCCTAATAATCTGTGTTTTACTAAGTATAAGGTTGCGTCTGCGTGTCAATGACGGTATTGCTGCTGCCTGCTGCTCTCCCGCCACACACCGCACCTCCAACTTAAAGCCTTAGCCCCGCCCCCTTCACCTGAGCAAAGCACACCTCTTACTGAAACAGAAAAATGCATTAATAAAGGTTCCAAATAAATCAAAACAAAATAAACTTAAATGCGGCTCCTACATTCATGTTTTGACAGCAGGTGCAAAGCACTGCTAGCAGCCTCTAGAAGTCTAGAGCATTTATTACACCCCATAATATGAGATATGGACACAGTGATGAATTACAATAGATACTGACACGCCTGTAAGAGCTTAACCAGCACTGAGGCTAGCTTTGTTCTGAAGTCCTGTGAGAAGAAGAGTCACACAGTGATCAAGCTGCGTGACTTCACCACACATAAATCTCTGTAGACTGACTTCTAGTTTGTTGTAGGGACGATTTTCACATCTTATTGGTTACTTTTAAAATAATTCCTGCCTGACGTTTCAATATTACTTATTTCTTAGGACCAATCAAGCTTGTAAATAGTTGTTAATCCTCTAACATGGATTTTTCTCCTAAGGCCTCCTTGTGCTTTCCCTGTGTTAAAAAGTCATATTCTACTGGTGCTCCCACCACCCCCTGTTTCCAATATATGCAATTTCACCAGGAGGTAAAAAAAACTACTTTAAATTGTTAAATAATACTACTAAATAATAATGAATTTACTATAAACAAAAACAGCAAGAAAATAAACATTGCACTTTTATATAATATAAGGCAATGGATAGCTCCAACAAATATATATGCTTATTTTCATTTATTAAAAAATCATTAGCCTAATGGTGTTGCTCGAGAAATAAAGAATTCAGGAAATGAAGGTATAAAAACGTCAAAACTGAAAAACCATACATACACAACAGTACTCTGATACATACATTATTACTGTGATTGAATGTTTTGTTGATACACAGAAAAAGGCAATGTCCTATTGTTCTCTTATGTACTATTTGCCTGTTTTTTTGTTTCAGACTGACCTTTGATCTCTGAGGGAGCATTGTCTCCCTGGCAGTGGTTCCAGGGAGGGGCCAGCCGGGGTCCTGGGATGGACATGGAAAACTACCCACGGGAGAGCGCCTCAGGACCCAACCTCACAAAATGCACCGCCCCGCCTGCTAGCAGTCTGCAGACGGTGCAGCTCACAGATGAAATGGCGGTGGTGGTGGTTGTTCTCAGTCTCCTCACATTCCTCACTGCACTCATCAACGCCGCTGTCATCATCGCTATCTGCACCACCAAGAAGCTCCACCTACCAGCCAACTACCTCATCTGCTCTCTGGCCGTCACAGACTTCCTGGTGGCGCTCCTGGTGATGCCCATCAGCATCCTCTACTACATGACCATGGAGATGTGGCCCCTGGGTCAGGTGGTGTGTGAGTTGTGGTTGAGCGTGGACATGACCTGCTGCACCTGCTCCATCCTGCACCTGTGCGCCATCGCCCTGGACCGGTACTGGGCCATCACCAAAGCCATCGAGTGTGCTCGCAAGAGGTCGGCCCGCCATGCCGCCTTCATGGTGGGGATGATCTGGGTCATATCAGTTTTCATATCCATGCCACCCTTATTCTGGAGGCAGAGGTCTAGCAGTGGCATTTTCCAGCAGTGCATCATAGAGCATGACCACTTGGGATACACTATATACTCCACTTTTGGGGCATTTTACATTCCCATGATCATCATTCTCATCTTATACTACAGGATTTACAATGCCGCAAAAACTCTCTACCAGAAGCGTGGCTCTTCTCGGCACCTCAGCAGCCGAAGCATGGGCAGTCAGAATTACCAAGTCTCCCACACATTCTGTGTGTCAGACTTGTCCAACTCAGATCTTACTCTGGCTACGGACAAACTAAACGCAACCATACGCATCCCATCCTTTGAGAAGAACATAGATGGGCAGGATGAGAAGAACCAGATATGTACCTCACGGGAGAGGAAAGCAGCTCGGATCCTTGGCCTCATCTTCGGGGCCTTCATTATCTGCTGGCTTCCTTTCTTTATAAAGGAGCTCCTGGTGGGTCTGCAAATGATATAACCTTCTCCACTTATCTGTGACTTCCTGACATGGCTGGGGTATATCAACTCTCTTATCAACCCCCTGCTGTACACCAGCTTCAATGATGATTTCAAGCTGGCTTTTAAAAAGCTTCTCAAGAGAAAAGAGCATGCATAAGTCTGAAGGTAAACAGTTTTACATTACCATTATCTTTCTGCAATGAATCAAAAAGCCGACCTGTTTTTTATTTCCTTCATTATTTTACTATTTACTTACCTTGAAACCAGGGATGAAATCCTAGTTAAAGCATTTGTTCTCTGAAACAAAATAAACGTTGTGGTAAAATTATATGAAAAGTAAGGATGAGGAGGCAGGTTCACCTACCACCCAAAAGCAATAGAGTGTTACAGGAATAAGTCCTCAAACCTAAATGAGTCAGCATTTTACCACTTTCGGTTCCCTTATCTGGAAGTCAATGGTTTATGGAAACGTTTTTTTGGTTAGATGCCTGAAAAAATATTTGTTGTTAACACAAGCCTAAGAGACTCGAGCGTTTTGTTTTTATGAAAAAAATATATATCAGTAAATACCCGACTGGTAATGTGTGAAGCTTCTTTGTGTCATAAAAACAGCTGTTTCTAACAAGTGACTTAATACTAGGCCTGCTAAATGCCATAACGCCAAACATTAGCCACCTTCAGCTATGCGATTGTGATGTAATTCCTTTAGCCGTTAGCTTTAGAACGTTATAACATTAGCTTTATACATCTGGCAATTGCATTTATACTTAAACAATAAAAAAGACTGTGTTAATATGTGGAAATTATCCTGCTGAACAAAATATGACCGTATCATAAACATGTGTATGCCACAGATCTTATTTCTGCAAGATTCCAAAATCCAATGGAAAAATCCCATTACTTTTTGTAGAGCGATGTTAGCCAAAGTTTGATTGACCACGCCCAATGAACAAGAGCAGGGTTGAAGGTGCATCAATTGTAAGAAAGGATTTGAAATATCATTATGGTTGGGAAATATAAATCGAAGTGCATTCGCCATTCTTAAGGGAACTTAGGTACAAGGTTACTGCCTATCAGCTGATGTCATTCACGTACACTGCAACAGGAAATACAATTGAACACATCTTGAATGTTCATGTTGACAAATGTGAAATGGTCTGTTGTCTGCTCTTATAAGACATTAATTCTGTTTTGTATAAATCCCACTGCTTCCCATGCCCTTTAAAGGTGTATCTATATCACAAAAATATCCCTTATTATAAAACATAAACCAACTTGATACATTTAAATAGCCTAAACGTCATTTGTCAGTAAAGTATACCATTTATTGGATTTTTTTTAAATGGGGATTACCAGCAGGTTTATGTTACAATACATATTAAAAATAAAGCACGATAAATTATAAAGTGCTTCTAAAAACTTAAAAATACAACATTTTTGCTTTTGAACTGTTGTATATGGTCGTGTGTTTCTTTATTTGTCTGGATAATACTGCCTGAATATGTTTAATGAATGGCAGGTTTTACTTGAAAGACAACACTGAGCAAAGGAAAATGTTTTAAACTTCAGAGATATTCCATAAGAGATATTTATTTTCACTTGTTTATTTGCATTGCATTTGATCCATCAGTAATAGTGAGCTGCTGTTAATAGCCACCGCCTGTAAAAGCCAAATGCAGAGTCATATTTGACGTATTAAAATAAAATACATACATACATACATACATACATACATACATACATACATACATACATACATACATACATACATACCAGTGGCGGCTGGTGGCAAATATTTTTGGTGGGGCTGTTGATATAGTGAGTAAAAAAACTTTTTTGGAGAGAGACGACCCCTTAAATTGGGACTTCTGGTGATGTAATGGCCCCATAAAATCGTGGTTCTAGGGCCAGGAACAACCAGGCTGAGTCGGGCTGAGTATGCTAAACTAACTGCGGTCAAGCCAGCCTCCACTCGGGAAAACCTAGTCAAGCCAGTCCTCATGTGATATTGCGGTGCGCGAATATCCTATGCATTACGGTAGAGTCAAAAAAAATCATCCCTCTGTGTTTAGATGAGAATAAAACAAAAACTGTCCAGTATCAAAGACTCATTTCACTTCAGGGTGATAGCAGGACATCCCATGTAGTCACTCAGAAAAAATCAGGACATTCTGATGTAGAGTTTCAAAATAAAAGACCTTTGAATTCTCTATTGTATGAGCTATCATCCCTGTTTTTAGATGAGAACAAAACCAAAAACTGTCCAGTATCATAGATCCATCTCACTCCAGGGTGATAGCAGGACACCCCATCTAGTCACTCAGAAAAAATCAGGACATTCTGATG